AAAGCTTGGTTTTACATTCTGTACTCCTAACTAAATGCTGAAAACATCAAAGTGCTCATAAACAAGTTAGAAGGACTAAATGAATATATACAATCTGTGGTATCCGATTTTTGTGCATGTTACGTTGTTTTTGTGTACAATACATTTTTTTAATGTAATTTGTTTTAATTTTTATTTTACTGATGTTTGAAAAAACAGTTGCACAAATATCCTGTAAAATAAATGAATGGCAACCACCTCCGTTTTATTCAACAGGACCTCTGTTTTTAGAAAATATATATTTATGGGTTTTACATTTTTTAGCAAAAATGTGAAATAAAAAAATTGCTCTGCAAGCAAAGTGGTTAATCATGGTCTGAGGGAAAAGTTAGGCATAGACTGTTACTGGGCTAGGAAAAAAAAAATGATTTGAGGTGGATGGAGGAATCTTCCCTTACTTTCCGCTGCTGGCACATTGTAATCGGACAGTGGCAAGCACTGACCAGTGACTGCGGCCGCCGCTCCACAAACGTTTTGCAGCGTGTCCATTCGTCAGGAGTTGATGAAACGATTCACTTCTGTTGAATATAGAGGGCCACATACGGATTGAAACTTGGCCGGTTCCTGCTGAACTAGTCAAATTTTGACCTGTCTATGCCCAGCTTTTTTTTTTGGCGAGTTGAATGTGTACCATTTTTAGTTTTGGTAGGGGAGAGGATTGGGTTGTTGGAACTGTCCACATAGAGAAGGCTTGCAGCTAGAATAAAAAAGAATATAACGAGATCTCAAGATTCAGTGGCTGGAGGTGTGGTGTTTTTTTTTTTTTTTTTTTTTTTTTTTGTGTTTTTGTTTTTTTTTTAATCATTTTGAAAGTGCTTACCTCTTATATTTTTAACACTGCAAACTGTATGGCAGCAGGTTCATATAATAAAGTGCAATTATCCATAGAGCCAAATTGGCAGTCAAATTTCATTATGAGTGAATGGTGAAATTTCCTTTCTAAACAGCTAGCCATTGTTGCATTGTACAGCTAAACAAGCATTATAGTGGTAGTGCCTGTTCTAACCTGCAAGGTGAAAATGATGTACTTCTGTTTGTGTCTATTTTGTTAAAGCACTAGTCAGAAGTGCAGATTCTTGGTGGTTTAGATTTTTGCCCTTTGCTAGTGTTCAGAATTACAGACTGAGTTGTAGGCTTTTTTTGTTTTTTCCTGCTGATCTGTCAATTATATTTAGGCTGGGTTCACACTTGTGCTGTATATCGCATGTTATTGGCACAGGAACTGCACCGCATTCCTGTGCAAGTCACATGTGAATTGTGTGCGATGCGATTTCCAATCGCACCACGTCCGCACCAAAAAGGTGCAGAACCTTTTTTTGGTCCGTACTAGAATCTGATTGTATGGGTATTCACACCCATGTGATCCGATTCTGCACATCGCACTGCGTTTTGCGGACCGATTTTGGGGTATTAACTTTAAATGCACACCCACAGCGGTTCGCATGATGAACGAGGTGCGATTGTGATGTGGTGCGGAATTCACACAGAAAACGCTGCGAATTCTGCACCGCATCAGTGTGAACCCAGGCTAAATGTTGAGTTGACCTGAATGTGAAAGAATTTGACTTTATAGAAACCTTATTCTGTTTAAAGCCCTTTCCCATGAGGAAAGTTAGTAGATTGTTTTCCCAAGTGAGTCCAATGAGAGCTTAGCATATTATGTGCCTTGTTTGGAAGTTTTAAATGTTTTTTATTAAACTATTTAAAGCTGAAATCTGGACACAAAAATGTTAATTTTTAAATATATTCCCTAACTCGAAACGATATACATTTTGGTTTGGGTTCACCAAATGTCTTTGCAAACCCAGCTGTTGCCTTGTAAAAGTAATGGTGGCATCATCACTGTGCTGTAGATAGCCTGTGCAAAGAGCAGATCTGTGGAAGGGACCCAGCAGGCCCCACCCACTACATGCTGCCTGCAGAAAAACTTCAGTAGGGGGTGGATACAAGAATAGTCAGTCTGAACTTATGCAGGCCATACATGGGTCAATTCCGAATGAATTTTCTTTAGAAAATTGGAAACTTCATGCATTTTGTAAAACGATGGTGCCACCATTGATTTCAAAATTCAATCAACCAAGCCTTCAATTTCACTCACCTCATGTTGCTACAGAAAATAATTTTCATTGCCAAAAATTTTCTTTTCTTTCCAGGTCACAGCTTTATATTTCTTGCGCGATTTCCCATCATTGATTCAGAATTCGTTCGTTTTTAAAAATTTCCAATATGCCCGATCACTCAATTTCGATAGTCATATGAAAATCAGCCATTTCTGTGACCCACTAATGGTGCGCAATTCTAACAAAAATTCTTAGAAAAGGTTTTCAAAAGAAAATTATTTCTGAATTCGACCCATGTATGGCCGGCTAAAGAGAGAGAGCAGCAGTAATTGGTCTTTATTAAATGAAGCTCCTGCTCAGAGGCAAGTTTCACATTAGGTTACTACACAGATCTGGAAGAAATACACAAAGCACACCAAGATTGAAGGAAGCATGCAAATGCCTCTTATATTTAGACCGGATTTGCGTATTCTGAACTTTACCTTTTTTATTATCCTTTTACTTTGTATAAAATCCTTATTATACAAATCTAATGCAGGGTGCACCAATGTTTCAGGTCCTCTTCACTTTTGTCTGGTTTGCTGCTGTAAAATTCATGCATTATATTGCATTCAAGTAGAAATATGCATCTCTTATAAAATAGGTATTTGCATTGTTTTAGATTTACCCAACTACAAATATTTCGAAAAATAATCTCCTTATTCCTGAACATAAGAGATATATGGCAAACACTCATCTACCTTTTAGTAAAGTGTTGAGTAATGTGAATAGTACTTCACTCCCACTCATTCATGGTCCTCATCTACAGTGCTAATAAGATTGGATGGTCAGGCCCAGGAATAATATGTGGAGCACTGGGCATGTCCTGGCAAAAAATGGGCTTATCTCTAAATTGCACTGAATATTGGCTGTGGTTTAAACGGGTAAGCCCAGCTATCATTGGGAGGTACAATCCCCCTGGTTTGGTGGGCATTGGATTAGACAGAGCCCCAATCAGTGGTGGTTTAGTGTTGAAAATATATACAAATGTATACACTGTGTGCATAATTTATTATCAAACATGAATACTGTGTGTGTGTGCGACTGCATGTATGTGTTCTAGAAAATAATATATAGTGTGGAAAAATAAAAACAAAAAAATAGGGGAAAAAATGCCCGTAAGTCTGTGCTGTCCAGACAAATTGCAGTTCCTCTCCCCTTCAGACCTCTGTTCAATGCAGTGCCCACACAAGACTAGGTAGGTCTTTATACCAGACTTGCCTTTTTGGTTGTGTGTCAATAACTGGGTTTGGACATTGCCACTTGGCTGATCAGGCATTTTTACAGCCATTGGGTACTGGGACATGGGGTGAACCTGCTGGATCCTTGGATTTTGTTAAAAGCACAGGCCACAGTCCTGGGTCAAATGTGGGCATGCTGAAATTTGTCAATGTAGAATGGTTTTATTCATAAAAAAAAATCTTGCCTATTTAGCTCATGTTTGCTTGTTTGTGCTTTATACCAGAACTGTAAGTCAATAAGACAATCTAAAAAAGCACAAAAATAATTAAAAGCTGACATTGTTGCTGACTCCCTAATATACTGTACTTCGCTACATAATATCTTTCCCATGTTCCTTTCAAAATGACTAGAGAACTTCCATGCAAAAGTATCCTTTTACAGCCTATTGTTTCTTGCAGAATGTTTTTTTCCTGGAGGACATAATCCTTTTATTATTCACAAACATCTTATTTATTTATGAACACATTTTTGGTTAAGAGATCCTGGTGGAAATTATTTCTGAGAACATGAACATGTTTAATGCATAGCTATGTTTGTAATTTCTTGCTTGCTAATATTTGTATTTTATGTTTTTGTTCTATAAATTTGACCATGTTCTGCCTTGTGCAGAATGCTTCTATAAGGCTATTACATACACAAATAGTTACATTTGTTAAATGCTTACTCGATTTGGGAATGTACAGTTGGTAGTGGTATGACTTCTGTAATAGTGTTCATAACTCTAGCAAAGTGAAAGACTTGATATGTTGTGCGTAAATTTTCTTATAGCACACAACTTTCTATAATGCAGGAAAGGTCCCTCCCACTGTTAAACAAATGGTTGAGATTATATTTTTATGTGCTATGTAGATCCTTGGCCCATAGGCAAAAATTATGGAAGGTGAAGAGAGTGCAGATAATTATTTATATTACATGTGAAAAACAAATGTCACATTCAAAAGAGGAATTGAAAGTGGGCCTTGTAGATGGGCCCTCAGGTCACACTCATCCTGTCCATGGTCCATTGCCAGTCTCAGTGCTATATGTAAGATGCAGCAGGTGCTGTCCTTTAGAGCAAGCAGAGGTCCCATTTGGAGCTGGTGTATGCAATGACCTTGGGGAAGAGGTAGCGTCTGCTTCTTTTTGACAAGCATTTTGGGTTCCCTTTCCCTTTTGTCAAGCCTAGTGATACTCTGTACAGGGAGTTTTTATTGTAGCTGTAGAAGTGCAAATAGGCTGCGGTGCTTTATAATGTACCATGTGCTTAGTTTAAAATGAGTATATATAACTGAAAAATGATAAATGGATTTCTTAATCTGAAGAGAACCCAAGGTTGCTCATGTCTATGTATTTGAATCTCCTCCACTGTATATGCAAACATGTAATGCACAGGGACACACATGTAATTGGACATGGGACACGGATATAGTCTGGTATAGGAATACATGTGTTTTTTTCTGAAGGATTATTTTATGAGCTGAAGTAATTATTTAGATAATATATTAAAATCTAGGCTTCTGCCTTTGTGATTTTGCTACTGTCTAAGAAAAGATATTTGTTCTCTTCCCCATTTTTATTATCATGTAATTGTTTCTCCCTTTTTATTGTAGCCGACCTTCTAACTATGCCCCAAGTCGAGATATGTATGGAGGAGAGATTCACTCACAGCCAGCTTACTCTTACTATCCTGATGATGAGGTCCCTACAACCCAGCATTTCTACAAATGGAGCTCTCCACCTGGCATCATCAAGATTATGGCTATCCTTATTGTTGTCATGTGTGTTGGCATTTTTGCTTGTGTAGCTTCCACATTACCATGGGATTTGGATATCACCGGACAATCCATGGGTTACGGCATGGGAGGATATTCTGGATACTCTGGGGGATACACTGGCTATGGATTTGGTTCATCTCAGATGGGCTTGGGTTTTGCTTATGGAGGAAATTATACTGACCCAAGAGCTGCCAAAGGATTCATCCTCGCCATGGCGGCTATTTGCTTTATTATTAGTATGGTGGTGTTTGTGATGCTTGTAACAAGGACCCAAATTTCCACTACCAGGCGGTTCTACCTGATTGTTATCATTGTCAGTGCGATTATCGGAGGATTGGTCTTTATTGCAACGATCGTGTACACCATAGGAGTGAATCCTGTAGCACAGGCATCTGGATCTGCTTTTTACACACAGATTGTGTCCATATGCAACCAGTTCTATGCACCGGTCACAACTGGAGTTTTTGTGAATCAGTACCTTTACCACTACTGTGTAGTTGAGCCACAAGAGGTAAGCTTGTCTTTAATTAAAATCTACATACAAAAACTGATTGGGAGTGATTATAAACCATTGGCCCTTTTAATATTGTCAGACAAATGTGCAAATTGAAGTGTATCTAAAGCAAAAATCTTGTTAGTTTGAGGGGTTAGAACTCCTGTCTGGTTTATATTGCTGTCTGTGTCCAGTAATGGAGACTGTTCTGAGAACCACTGTCACTGGATGGTAGCTGACAGACCATCTAAAGTTTGGAGTTGTCACCAGAAGAAGGGAGACCTTTTCCAATGTGGACAGTTGTTCTGGTGAAAACTGTCTAAAAAGATCTTCTACTCTTTGGAGAGATTTCTTCACTACTACTTTCATGTGCCTATATGAAAATTTTCCCAATGGGACACAGCACAAATGAGAAAAACCATACGATAAACTTTTACCTTTTGTAGGCATCCTGTCAGAACGCTAAGTTTTAAATAGATATGAGGACGTAGAAAAAGCATTTATGTCGAAGGTGCAATTAAGTCATGAACTAGTGTATATTATATTGAAATATTTGTTGGTACTACCCTGGACAAATCTTTCCAAAGTCTAGGTGCCAAATTCAAAAAGGTAATACCAATCAAAAATAGAAGAACTAACTGGGGGATCATGTGAGTTTGGGAAGGTTGGAGGTTAGTAGTTGTGATGTGCAGAACCTCTATTATTATTATTATTTTTTTTAACTTCTGGATGACAAGCCATGCAAGTGTTAGCTCTCTCTCAAGAGCAAGTGAGGAGGAAAGAGACTGTGGAATGAGAGAAGAAGGCGGGAGGAAATGGCAATAGTTGGTACTTCTTTCTCCCCAGAAACCATGTATAAAATATACACTCACTGGCCAGTTGAGTGTATACGTTACTTTTCCCATCTTTACTGCTTGGTAGCCTTAAATATCTACGGACTTTTTACTGAGCACATTAATTCTTTACCCTCTCTCCTCCCCTTTAGCCTGCTTTTTGAGATAGTAATGGCAGCTTCACTTCAGCAGGCAGAAGGGCAGATTTGGAGCTATAGGTGTTGGAAAGAAATAGCTTGTTTTTGCCTTCCAAATATGTAAGGTCAACACTGATCACTTTATGTATAGCTGCTCTATTATAAGGTACTGCTTTGCGTGGGCTCAGGAAATCATTTGCTTTAGCTTAATGGTACTGGTATAGGATGATCAATGCAATGGGGAGGGGTTGTCTCTTATGAGTTGGTAACTTTTATGATCCTGTATACTTTATGATCCTTACACTTGCTGAATGCCCCTATTACCTTGGTGACGTGGATTTTTCATGCCCTGTTCAGTGTAAAATATATAAATATTCATATGAAAGAAATGCATTCTGTCCAACCCGTGCCAGGCCCAATAAATGTATTGTTTGCTAGGTAGTCCACCATTCCAGTTGTTACAGCATGTAACACTATTGGTAAACAAGTGCTTAGAAGTTTCAAATTATTATTATACAGGACTTGTATAGCGCCAACAGTTTGCTCAGTGCTTTACATTATGGAGGTAGACAGTGCAGTAACAATACAGTTCAATACAAGAGGGATTAGAGGGCCCTGCTCCTTGGAGCTTACAATCTAGGAGGGAGGGGATAGTGGTACAAGAGGTAATTTAGCTGTGGGGGATGGAGTGGTAGGAGTAGTGGATTCCAGTATTAGCTGGGGGCGGGGTAGGCTTCCCTGAAGAGATGGGTTTTCAGAGTGCGCCTAAAGGTGAGCAGAGTAGGCAGAGGTGAAGTCTACTTGAGTTTGTCAGTGATTGGACCTGGGGCTGAAAGGACAGATTGGAGTCTAGGATTAGATTGCAGAATTCATCTTTACCAGTCATTTTCAGGATTTGCTCTTTTATGTTCTGTAAAGCTGTTACTTTTTTCACAATACCTGTGGTGCCTACAATTGTCCTATACAGTGTTTTTATGTAATAATGACCACATTTTACGCTGGTAATTTAATGTCATGGTTTTCCCTTCTAGGCCATTGCCATTGTTCTGGGTTTCCTGATAGTGGTGGCATTTGCCATTATCATATTTTTTGCTGTGAAAACAAGGAGAAAAATTAGCGAATGTGGAAAAATGAACATTCTTTGGAAAAAAGAAAAGTTTGAGGGAGAGGGAGATCCTAACGTGGAAGAATGGGTGAGTCTGAACTATAAGAATACTTTTCTAGTTGTCAGTTACGGTACCTTTTTATTCTCCCTTACCATAAAATTCCATTTCAGCATCTTTCAAAGGAACCGTTCGGTAGACCATAGCCATGATTTGAGGCACCACAAGGTGCCTATTTGTACTGCTGCCACGTAATATTTCCTCTCTGAGTTGATGGGGTTGCCCATTCTGTTAATGACTAACAGCAGGTTGGGAAGGGCAGAGTGTGATGGAGCGTAGGCAGGGCAGAACACACAGAGAAGATGACGAACACTCAAAGCTTTATTAAATTATGACAATCACTCAATTTGAGTCTGGGGGTAGCGTCCAAGTCTCTGGAGCAGGGGAGGAGCAGGGAACGGCCAAAATAACTGTAATCCAGCCCCAGGGAGGGCGAACTTAGAGTCTCTGGTAAATTATACTCCAGGCCGGGAAGAGTAAGGGGGGAAAGTTCACGGACAGTCCGTACAGGGGGAAAACAGGGGCAAATGACACTCACAGTTCTGGCAGGGGTTCTCCTGGCTCACAGCAGCCGACAGCAGGAAGCGATACTTATCAGCACACAGCAGAGGATCCAAACAGCGGGTATTTCCAGCACACAGCAGCACAGGCAATCCTGGCCCCACAGTTTCAGGCAGTATAGCAGCAGGAACTCCTCCTGTGCCCCAAGTATTAGCAGAGTGTACAGCGGGTAATAATCTTGAGTCTTCCAGAGTATTAGGCCGAGTGGCAGCGGGTACTCCCGACCCAGAGTATTAGGCAGAGTGGCAGCGGGGTTGGCTGCGGGAGTCTGGCCTCAGTGCAGACCTCCCAGCAGCTTTGGCAGTGGATGAACAACCCAGAAAGTCCTGCGCTGGCCTTCTTAAAGCAAGGCAGACCGCTCCTGGTTGCCTTGGCAACGTCTGGCCCAGAGCTGTGTTGCCAGGCAACAAGGCACGCCCCCTCGACACGGCCTGCGCTCTCAAGAGCGTGGCCTTTGTCTCCGGCAGTTGCAGGGCGCGGGAAGCCTCGTGACTATGCTGCCCCCGCCGGGGGGTGCGCAGCAAAACAGGTTGGCGGGGCGCGCCGGAATTCCCCAGCGGGGGTCACCCCTCTCCTGGCTATATGGCCGTAGAGGTGTGAGAACCACCGCATTGGTCACTTCCTCCCATCCTGCGCAGCCTGTCTTCAAAGGGCTGAAGAGGAGCAGGCACTCTGTGACACAGAGTTTAACTTTTTATGGTAAAGATTGGTCAAGATTTAAATATAAATCCAGTTGCTGATACCTTTGCCATGCTGTTTTCACTGATGGTGACCGTTTTTTTTTAATACTGAATTTCCTAGGTTTGCTTTAGTATTGTGTAGGAGCAGAGGCACAAATCTTTGCTGGCATGAGGAATATATTTATTTTTTAATATTTGATGGTCACATTTACTGATGTCTCCTAGATTGCTTTCGTTCCTTGTGCATTACTTTGTACTGTGAACTTTCTTTTTTGTTGTGGGTAGAGAACTTGTTTGACAAAGTTGAAAAAAAAATGTTGGGGGAGGGAATGCAATAGCTGGAACATTAAGCAAAGGGTTTTCAAAGAAAGGTTCACATCGCAGCCATCAAACAAATGCTGGTGTTTATTGCAGTAGTTAATTGTACTTTAGAATAGCAAAGAGTCTGCACAACTTGTAGGTTTTAGGGCTCATTCACACAACTCATATTTTAGCATGTGCCATAACACATGCTATAGTAACTTAGAGCAGTGCACTTTTATATCTATGTGGCTATTTGCCATTTATCGTCAATTGCACTTAAAAGCTTGCTGCTTTGCAGATGCTTAGTGATTGTAGTGCTCTGGATTAAAAAAAAAATTTATGTGGGGTAACAGCCCTTTCAAAATGAATGGCTTTTTAATTCTTCCTAAAACTGCCATTTTAGTTTTACACAGCTGCTGGCAAGTTGAAGTAATTGCTGCTTCCACTATTAGAGATATCCAATGGGGGTTGGGGATCTCTCAACCAGAATTCCCAGTCCAATCCAACTATTGAAACTGTTACAAGAGGAATCATTCTGGTGTATTCCCTGGATGGATGTGGAGCCAGCCTGTGACTGAAGAGAGATTTCATACAACCATGAGAGCAAATCTAGTCTCCAATTTAGAGCAGTTTGTCACAGACCAATGTCAAGAGCTTCAACCCTATACAGTCCATTGGCTTCTGTTCAGAGGTGGGTATTTTATTCAAAATGAAGGGTGCCAACCTTGCTGATTGTTTATGATTTGCTGGGCAAAGTCATTTCTTCAGATTCTATGCATGTTCCACAATCCTATAATCTGTGGTTTCCTCTAAAGTGTGTGTATTCATTTGAAAATACAAAAAAGTTTACTATGTAGATAGATATGTTTTAACTAGAACTGTGTTTCCTAATTAGACGTTTTGTCCTCTGACTCGTATGTGAAAAGGTATGCTGCCTATAGGAGGACAGAAGAGGTTTACTAATGGTGATGGTTACCAAGCACTAGAGGAGCAGAAGACTCCAAATATTGGTTTGAAGTGTCCACTACTTTTGGATTAAGTGGACATTTTGAAAAAATATCTTTTATGGCTTTCTGAGAAGGTAGATGGGCAAGACAAAAGTCTACTTCAGGGGAAAAAAAAGAGACTCTACAGAGATATAAGCAGCAATGAGGATACCTGATATTACACCATATATATTATGGTTAAATGTCTGGTCCCTCCCCCAGGCTGTGACTGGACTGTATTTTTAATTTATGAATTAATTGAAACTGTAGTGTTTTTTTTCTTCAATAGCTGTGTAAGCTCTGCTGAGAGCTTCTAAATACAGCAGGAGCTGCCATTTCCATTGCTGCATCATTTGCAAAGCACAGTGATGATGTCGCAGCTGTACTTTGTGAATGGCACCTCAGGGGCAATAAGCTGAAGGCATAACACCATGGATTGATGTCTATAGTAGGACCCTATTCTGATGCAGCATAGATCCAGAAGTGCAGCACACATTGCAGGTCTGTAGATCTACTGCTCTAATCAAAGTTTACAGATGTAAAAACAACAGTAGTTTTAAAGCTTGTGGGGTTTTTTTTTGTTTTTTTTTTTGTCTTACAATGGTACAGCTTGGTTACATCCAATTCTTCATATCTTGCATCTGGAAGGACACTGTAGATCCATACATTCACTATACTTATCTCTTCTGGGTGCCGCTTAAGCAACCTGCCACCTGTATACTGAATACAATGGGTCGCCTGTTTAGCATTTTGACCATCAAGGTGTTCTCTGATCGGATGCCGTGGAGAGTAGGGGCAGATAATTTCACAATCTCTGCCTAGTCCAGTCAGAAAATGCTTGTACACAATGGGGAAAAAAGCAGGACATTCTCTGAATCCCAAAAGTGTTGAGCAAGCAACCCCCTCTGTTCAGTATAAAGACTCGCTCCAGCAGCAACTGGAAAAAACTAGCGCCGACTATGTAGCAGTTTACTACTGTGAATTTTTGCATCCCCTTCGGCCCTCCGAACATGAGATATGAGGGAGTAGATGTAACCAAGCTGGACAATTTTATGTATTTAAAGCTTTAACTCAAGGAATTTTTATTTTTTTGTTTTTAAAGATTTAAAAAACGTAGTAATCTAATCGTGAGTGACCAATTCTCTTACCAAAATAAGCCAATGTCAGAAGTCTCCATCCATAATACCTGCACACTGGATTTAGACTTTGAGATGTAAACAGCTAGGTTTTCACATCAAATTGATGTTATGCCTACATCGGGACCTATGGCCACTCCTTTTCGAACTCCTCTGTATAGTCAAAACCTCTTTTAATGCACTGCCTATCATTGTCCTACTCCATGCTGACCTCTGACTCAATCACGAGAGTTTACTTTTATTTAGAAAACAGGAAATATGACTTATGGACCTCATTTGTGCATGCCCCAAAAAGATTCTCCTTTTTGCACATAAGGCGTCGTCTATGGGATTTGTGGGCGAAAGTCAAAGCTACTATTCATGGGGTGACAGATGTCTCTCTTGCAGATGACCTGGTGGCCTGTTCATTCCATGTCACTTAGATGTCAGTTAAGTGCTACAAAAAAACTCTCTTAAGCATCCCCTCAGTGCAGCCAGGGTCTGCATACCTGCCACGTGGAAAAAGCTCTCTCCACGCTCTGAGTGTCTGACATCAAGTTAATGGAGCAAATAATAGCTGACTTTGAAAAACATTTTCAAAATCTGGACCTCCTGGTTCCTATATAGAGATTTTGAAAATGACATGGCCAGCTTGGAGTTGGGGCACTGAGGCGGTAAGCTCCTCTCTCTTTCTTGCTTTCCACCCACTCCCACTACCATTTTCCCCTGGTCATTCCACTGCATTTTTTTGCCTCTCCCACAGATAATGGAAGAAAATGGGAAAGAGAGCAGTGGTTACTTCTACGTTTTTCAGTTTGTAGCTTACGGTCTGCGGACCTGACTGTACCCTCAATGTTTACAAATGGAGGGATAAAACTAATCTATAGTCCTTGCATTCACAAATCACAAATGTTCCACTTTGTTGGTGCTTTAAGTAAAAAAAATGTATGTAAAGATTTAAAAAACATAAAGGCAGCTGTGTCTAAGGTCGGGCTTTTTACATCTGTTTGGAGTTTGGCTATTATTAAATATGGCAAAGGTTGGAATATTTGCACACAACTGACCAGGTAAGCAATGTAGTATAACCATGGTAAGAGAGTATTTCCTTGGCTATAAAAAATTGTCATTAAAGCGTTTCAGAATTTTGCATTTCATATATTTATAAGGGCTAATATTGACAATCAGGATTGACAAAGGTATACCGGTATTGCTGCCTTGTATGCCTGCCAGGTTAGCATTCTCTGTCAAAGATGAGGGTGCTGATAAGTCTGTTGGTTGCTCAGAGAATGATGTAAGATGATGTCTCACGATAGGGAAGTGTTTGTAATGAGAGACTTTAGTTTCTGGGAGGGGACTGCAGTTTCATTACATTGACAACTTGTTTG